TAACGTCATGGTTATAGTTAAGGTAAGGTAATGTAATAAATAAATATATAATGATTAGAAATAAATATAACTTATAATATAAAATAAAAAGTACGTTTAAAAATTTTTCATCGATATTGTTAACAATCACTGCATTTATATTAGTAGGATGTGTTTACTGCCCAGCAAGTGGTAATAATAAATCCTTTGAAAAGTTTGATTAAAAAACTATTATAAAACGTAATAAAGAAGATAAAGGGTATATGTTACTTGTGACATAAACTTTCATTCATCGACTGCTTAATTTTTTCCCAGAACAAAATCATTCTTTGATATACTTCTTAAAATCAATGTCTTATCAACTATTAGTTAACCCAAACGTGTTACAAAAAACTCAGAAACAGTGATAGATAATATTCTCTATTAATTACCTATTATTTATTAGTTACCTAGAAACGAAATTTGAAACTGAAATAATTAAGACAGATGTTAGTGATCACTTTCCGATGTTCATTAAATCTGTACGTCAATTAAAAGTCAAACTTATTCATTTAAAAAAATGCAACTTAAAAACTACCAATACTAATAAACATTAAAACAAGAAACCTGAAGAAATTTTGGTAAATTTTAAGATACTAATGAAGCTTCTAAGGAACCTTTTATTAGATAAATAAAAGGTTTTTTAGAAGCTTCATTAGTATCCGACTAAAAAAAAAAAAAAAAAAAAAAATGTTCTCGTTTTCCAAAATTTGCCGACTGCCATGACGACATTTGCCGACTGTCTAATCGACTAACTAGTCTAAAAGGGTCCAATTTGCCGACTAAGGGTCCAGTTTGCCGACTAAAAATCATTGATGGGGGGACACCCCCCTATCGCGCCGGCCTTGGGTAGGGAGTTTGTAAATAGTTTAAATGAACAACTATTCTCTTTATTTCATATCAAACACTTATTAACCTCTGCCCACCACCCTCAAACCAATGGACAAGATGAAAGAACTAATCAGACAATTAAGAAATCTCTCTCTAAATTATCTAATGTTACCCAGGACAATTGGGATGAATTATTAGAAGCTGTTTTATTTGGTCTGTGCACATGTGTACAAAAGTCAACTAAATTTACACCCTTTTTTTTAATGTTTGGCAGAGAACCAAACTTGTTCTCTACTTTATCACTGAATAATAGTGATTCTGGTACTAATGACAATAACATTGTTGAAAGTAATGCATCTGATAAGCAAATTCAAAAAAAAATTGGGTTCATATAATAAAGTTGTTACAAAAGTAAATAACAATATTTGTCATGCCCAAACAAAAATGAAAAAGTATTATGCCTCAAAACAACTTAAAGAATGAAAATCATTTACATTTAAAACAGGCGATCAAGTTTTAGTTAGAAATTACAGAAAAATAGGTCGTAAAAGAAGTCGGATGGAACATGGTTGTTTGGGACCTGGAATTATTTCAGAGTTAAAACAAACTGGTGCTACTTTAACTGTCAATGGTAAGGTTTGGAAAAAAGCTGTTTCTTTATCCAACATGAAGCCTTATATAGTTGATAAACAAGTATTGTCGGCAGAATTTAAAAGAACATGACTATTGTTTGAAAATGACAAATCAATCATATAAAAAAGAAGATTTAAAAAAAAGGAGTTCTAAAAAGAGACACATATCAGAATTAAAATATTATAAAACAAAGATAAAAAATATTAATCTGTTAAAATGGAAATCTCTACATCATCTCTATCTGATGATAGAGATGATGTAGAGATGTATCTGACGATAGAGATGATGTACATTACTTATTAATACATTGGGTATTAATAAGTAATGTAACCTCTGATAATGGTTCAAATTCTGTTCAATATTATGATTCCCTTTTTACTGGTTTTAATAAAAGTACTGTTCCATTCATTACTAGTACACAGAGTTGCACGATCAATTTTGATAAATTAAATTGCATTCATAAATTTACAAGTCATGAGATGCCAGAATCAAGACAACGGAAATGATTGCGGGCTTCATGCTATTGCTAATGCTACAGCTTTATGTCATGGCATTGATCCAAGTGTAATTCTTTGGGAACAAAACAGTATGAGATCTCATTTTTTGAAGTGTGTTGAGAATAGGAAACTAGAGATGTTTCCTTACATTTTATTAAATGATACAAAACCTGCTCAATATCATTCCAATGTGATGATCTCTGTTCTTCTGCATTAAAACAATGATTCTGTTTTGTGTCTTTACATCAAGAAAATATTTAAATTATAAGCTAGTACAATATATGTGAATGTTTATTTACAATATGTAATAGGTTGACAACATGTGATGAAACATCAAGTTTTCAGTTATTTTTTATGTTTAAAAAACTTATTTCAGAATCTCTGTAAATATAATAATCCCTATAAAATATAATAATCCCTATAAAAATAATAAAATAAAATTTAAAAAAATTATTGGTTTTAATTTTTATTGTGGATCACTATTTTCTGAAGTTTGTGTTTTGTGTGGACATTTACTGTATCAAAATATTTTAATTAAAACTAAAAAATCAATTGCCTTTTCGGAAAAAAAAAGATAGCATTTTAAGTCTAGTATTATTTGAGTCAGTACTTTAGCTTGTTATTAATTTAGTTTTAGATTAGACTTTACTTTTGTTAGACTAGAGTTTGCTCAATTTTATATTAGAGTTATATATAGAGTTTTTAAACTGAATATATTAAGGAAGAAAAAATCACATAGTATATAAACTATGTAAAATCACATAGTATATAAACTATGTAACATAATAGATTTATTTTTAACTTATATATAAATATTTTATCTTACATACTTTATAAGTAACTTGTAAATAATATAAATGTATCATACATCTACAAAAGTAGTGTTGGGTGAACTCTATTTTTGTTCAGAAAAAAATTGAATACTCAGATCTGAAAACAATTTCAAATCAAGATAAGACTATTCGAAATAAAAAAGTGAAAATTATTAAATTGTATCGCTCAGATTTTTAGAAAAAGAGTTTTGAAAATGTAAACAAATCACGCTTTTAACAGTCAGATAAATGCAGCAGAGAATCACAGTTTTTTATATACTAAAACATCTTAACATTGTTTTTATCATTTTTGAATCAACAATTCAATTTTCTTTATTATTATTTCATTCTATCAAAAATATGCAAATAATAACTACTAAGTAAAACTTTAAAAATATTGTTGCTACTCAGAAAAAATTTTGGTATCTAAAGGCCGTCACCATCTTTAAAATTATAATATTTGAATTTGACACTGCGCTTGCGTATAATAACTTTCCACATCTAAACGACCGTGCTCTTGAATGGATTTTTTAGTAACTATTTTTATTTTTCTTTTACAATGAGTTTTATACCTGATGATATATTATTTAACTTTTTATAAAGGGGGTTTATAAAAAGATGTAACGTTATCCTTATTTTCTTAGAGTCCCTATCTGCTTTAACAATCTTTATGAATTTTATAACCTACTTATAATTTTGAAATATATTGTGAAATAAAAATGTAAATCTTATTTTATGTTAACCAGAGAAAAAGAAAGACAAATAAAAATGATATATACGCGATTGAGGTATTATTAACGCGAACTCTTAAAAACGTGGAACAGATTTTTAGTACAAAACTCGGTTCCGTAAAACGCGCACACACACTTTTATATCTATGCTTAAGTGTTTTATTTTAAAAACTATGCATTTCATGCATGGCCAGATATAGGATAATGGCTAGAAAATATGTTATAAGATTGTATATAGAAATATGAAAAAAAAAAAAAAAAAAAAAGGATCAATTGTTATACAAAATTATCTAACGTTATACAAAATAAGCATAAATGCATACACAGTTTTAACAACATTATATCATAATATTAGAAGCAACTTAAAAGATTTATAAGCGCAAAATGTTTGGATGTAATTCTTTAAAACTTTGATAATACCAAACATCGGAATATTATTATTATTATTTTATTTATTTAACACCCAATTTACAAGGTAAAAAGAAAAAAATATAAAAAAGTTATTTCGGATGACTTTGCTTAAAAACGTTTTTTTCCAGAATTTGCTTGAAAACTCCTTTTTGCTCTTTTGCATTCCAGCACTCTATTGCATACTTCAAGTTTCGTTCAACTTCGGAAGGAATTTTACTTTTAGAAAGTGGTATTTTTACCTTCTTTTTATTTTGAATTAGGTTTTGAAAATTTAATATCTGAAGATGGCATAGTTCCTGAATATCACTAACAAACGAATGTTGAAATAACGGGTGTTGCAGTTGTGAAATATATTTATCAAACATCGAGTTTACGAAATATATTTATCAAATTTAAAAAATCTTCTCAAAGCAGTTAACAAGTCAATAAGTACTTTAAAATGCATCTTTATAGACTATAAAGTCTAATATTATAAATTGCATTTTTACTTTAAAGCATTCATTAAAACCCTGCATTAAAGATTTTTAATAACTTTTGAAAATCGGCCAGATATACTTCAGTTTACTCTAAAAGATATCCTCAGACATCTAAATGCCACATCGTGCGCATAATATTAACACTAACATGTGAGTGTTATCAAGAAAATCTAAAAAACTAAAAGAAAACTAACTAAACACGGAGACAAAATGGTCATATTACTTTATAACAAACTATTTGGTATTCTAAGTTATAACTTTTCCTATAGAATACAGTATATCAAAAAATGGCAGCTATAGAAATACCATAAATTTTCAATAACTTAGCGACTAAGAATTAAAAAAACTACTTTTAGAAACAAACTCCGTAATTTTATCTTAAATGCCGAAAGGATATATTGACAACCGAAATCATTTTAATAAAGAAATTTAACTAACGACCTATCTAATCTTTAGTTCTAATTGCTGTCAATAATTTTTTTTAACTTTTGTATTTTTTTAAAAGTCTCGAAATTGAAAAATATGTACACAGCAGGTTCTTTTAGTAACAAAAAATATATTCAGTTGAATTCTATATTTATAACTAATTTGTTTTCAAGAAAATTTCAATTTCCTCTATATAATAAATAAATATACATTTTTCTAGTTCAGACAAATAGTCTAAAGTTTGCACAGACAAAGAAGTGTTGGAATGAAAAGACCGACAGCAATAATAAATGGATAGAAATAACTTCCGTCGTCAAGCTCATATGGATCTTTTACTTTTGGTCCAGATGTTTTCCTGTTCTTTTTATCTTTGGGAAGTTCTTCTTCAAACTCAGCCTCCCGCTGTTCTTCTTCATGCTGTTCTAAAGGTTGCAAACGAGGAACGTCTAAAAAACAAATTGAAATTAAAATTGATTCATTACATAAGAAATCATTTATTATATACTTTACTAATAAACACCCTATTTTGATATTACTAATGCCACGAATAGTGATTTTACTGAATAGCGAATATTTGACTAGGTGAATATTTGGCTGCCAATTATTTTATTAAGTTGTTATATACTCATCTAATATTACTTATATATTTAAAAAAACGCTTATAAACCTAAAAAATCTCAGACAGATAAAAATATACAGACAGATAAAAATAAGTCAAAATCAGAATGTGTGCATCTTTTCTAATACATATAATTATGGGGCACATTGTAATAGTCTTAAATAGTTTTTGCACCTGTGTGTCCTTTACAAAATGTATTACTGTTTTAATAAACTGTAACTTTATCTAATCTAATCTATTTTTATGCTACAAAAAAAAACAAAATCGAACAGAACTCCGTTACAACAACTTTGCCTTAACTGAAATGTAAGCAGTTATTACAAAATTATAAAAATTTCACTTTTATTATTTATTTTTGTTATTCAGCTCTCTAGGGTCGAGGAGGCCACTACAGTCGAGGAGACTTTATTTGTGGTTACAATCTTCCCTCATTTCTCTAACTCCAAAACATGAATCTTAGCAAACAAAACCACTGCGTGGAGAAGTTGATGTTTTATTGTTGATGACATGAGCTAGTTCAAATTAAGCAAATCGCCCATACACCCATACATGCCCATACACCACAAAAAAGAATTTCAGGACAATTTTATGGATCACATAAATCACACATAAAGTGTGATTTATGTGATCCATAAAATTGTCCTGAAACTGTTCGGCTACATTTTGATGAGCTGGCTTATTAGCAATATGCTAATGTAGAGCAAACTTAAATACATATGGTATACGTATCAGTAGCTTTTCTAATTCTATGTTTTTTTTAACTCACAAATAAAACTGAATTTCATCTCATTTTGGATGATTTATCTTTCTTATATAATTTCCTACCTTTTTTGTTTACATTAAACACTATTAATAATCGAAGTTAAGTTATAAAAATAAATATAAAAAAAATTTCTTTGAATTTATTGCTAAAATTGATTTTCTAAAGAAAAAAAAAATATTTTAGATTGAAAATAAAATCATCAAACTATAAACAGCATCGCAAAATGGTAGTAATATACTCAATTATATAAATACCCGTTATGTTGTCTCGATATGCCCCACAAATGTCATTTTACTGAAATTGATACTATTCAAAAATTCCAAATAATTTTTTAAAATTATTTGGAATTGAGCTTATTTATAATCATTTTGGAATTTTTAAACAAATTCTTTTAGAATCTGTTTAAAAACAGATTCTAAAAGAGGATAAAAAATACTGTCTAAAAATTATAAACATTTTATAAATAAAGCAAATTCGCAAGAGTTCAAGATAAATCTTTTGTTGCTGTATCGCTTAAGAAAATACACAAATTTTGTTTTTCGCCAACTTACTGATGCATTTTGGTACTTTTAATGCATTTTGGTATTTCTAAAATTAATTTTTTTTTACAATAATGAAGCACAATAATTTAAAATGTTTTATTAAAATAAAATTTTTTAAAAAAATTATTTTTAGCTGAGATATAAAACTTCAGGCATAACTGTACCGTTATGCCCCGCTCTACCCTATATATATTATAAGCATGTTAACTATAATTGCGATTTGCAATTCAAATTTTAGTTTAAATTTTTAATTTATTATTTAAAAAAGATTGTCTTACCTTCAACATTTCCTTTAAATATTACAAACGCATTAATTTTAAAAAGATTCTTACCTTCAACATTTCCTTTAAATATTACAAATGCATTAATTTTTGGGTTGTCGTAATATGACTAAAATGTAAAACAACTTTTAAAGAACTATAAAAAGAAACAGACACACAACTCCAAATTTTTATTCCAATTTACCTTAATAAATTCTACAAAAAGATGTCCAGTAAAAGGTGTAGATTTGGATCCAACTTTGAGTTGACCATTTTGTATTTTAAAAGGGATGTATTCGTCATGAGCAATACCATATCCAACTTGATCATATATGTCTAAATCTTTAACTACCACTAAATTATGGTTTAACCGAACATCAAATACCTGAAAATCAAATATTAAAAGTTTAACATTTGTGGTAAAAAAACTGCTCTTAACAACATTTTGTGTTTAAAGATGACAAAACTAAGTAAACTTTATATAAAAACAATTACATTAATTAAGAAAAGTAATTAAATTTTATAATTTTTAAAAACCACACAATAAAAAACATTCAGAATATTTTTAACTTTATTTTATTACTGGCTTTATTATTAAATTTGTTTGTTTTCTTTAATTGTTTTCAGTTTTGTTTATTGACTAATTTATTTAGGTATTAGCACTGAGGAGTGCAAATACATTGACTGACAAATAGGTAGAACATGCGAGGAATAAACATATATTGACTATGTATACTCCTCGCATATATGTATACTTGAGGAGTATACATATATTAACTTTTTTTTGGTTTCATAGGAAAAATTAAAAACAACCTACCAGTGTATATATATATATATATATATATATATATTATATATATATATATATATATATATATATATATATATATATATATATATATATATATATATATATATATATATATATATATATATATATATATATATATATATATATATATATATATATATACAAACACACTACAATGTCTATATACTTAAGCTTATATAGATAATAAATTGTTACTAGTTTTTCCTACTTTTATAGCATAACACATTTTAAGAAAAAGAAAAAAACCAAGAATAATAAAAGAAAAGATTGTGACAGCTGGCTATAAAATAATGTATGTATGAATGTATAAAATAATGTATGTATAAATAATGTATGTATAGGCTATAAAAAAATGTATCTATGTATACAGAAGCCCTCAGCAGCAGGCTATTTCAGTGAGGTCAGAGATCCTATCCAAACGTGCATTCATAGTTATATATATAAAATAATGGCTATTACTAACAATTCAGTATTTTTTTTTATCATTCAACTTTAATTGATTGTTTAACTCTTTTCAAATATAAAAAGCATTAGTTGATGAGAATTTTTCTTTCAATTTTTATTTTCTTTCAAATAAATATATTCATAAAAATATTAACTGGTGCACTAATTATCTTTTTTTGATGCATATCTCACAACCTAAAATATTTATAATGGCCTATTATATCAAATGTCCTTCAAAATTTTATTTGTCTTTGAGTAAAAATTTGAACTTATTTGTGAATTATTAACAACTATTAGAAAAGTTATATTTAAATTGTTATAAATATTTGAATAAATTGTGCTAAATGAAATAGAAAAATTAATTATCTACGATATTTCAGCGAATATGATAAAATGTTAAATCATAAAATTTAATGAGAGAAATTGTAACATATTTAAACAGAACACATACAACTATGAGCAGAATATTCACATATCACGAATAGAATACAATTGAAAATCTTCATGCATCCTGGAAGACCCAGCATTTCAAATGAAACAAATAAACATTTACTTATTTGCATAATGAATGAAATGACAAGAAGTTTCTGGTGTTGTGCTAGTGCTTGAACAACTAGAAGAGTAATATAAAAACACATTTACATGTGATGAGCTGCATGCAAAAAACCATGGTAACCTCAAAAAATTCACAATCTTGGTCAAATTTAAATAAAACCAGCTTAAAGAGAAAGCGACATTATTACTAATAATGTTAAAAAGATATTATTCAGAATTCTATTCCAAATGAATGCTTTAAAGCTAAAGGATTTTCAACAAAATGTTAATTTTTAATTTTTTTATGTTTTGTAAATTTATTATGATTAGTTCACAGTGGTGGTTTGTTTGTTTTGGCCATATCTTTTTTTGATACATAAGAACACTTGTTTTCATATCAATATTTTAATTTTTTTACTAATTTATATTGTGATCATTTGATTTATGCCAATAAAAAAAATCATGGCTAACATGTGTGTGTATATATATATATACATATATATATATATATATATATATATATATATATATATATATATATATATATATATATATATATATATATATATATATACATACATACATACATACATACATACATATACACACACATATATATCAGGGCCAATTCTAGTAAAAAAATTTGGGTAGTGGTACCATTTGTCTCAAAGATATTTAGCAAGAAATCTGCGTTTTTCAGCGAAAAAAATAAGCTGTAAAAAATGTAAAATAAAAAAAAAAAAAAAGGTCTTTAAATTTTATTCAGGCCGCGCCTAAACCAGCACTTAAATACAGTCAACAGTGTCAAAAATAGTCTAGAATAGCCCCAGAAGAAACAACAATTCTAAGAATGTACCTGATAAACAATATATTGGCATAACAGAGGGTGAATGGAAAAAACGTTTTGCCAATCATAAGCAATCCTTTAAAAATAAAAAGTATTCAAAAGACACCATGCTGTCAAAATAAAAATATTGATGATTTTATAATGAATTGGTCTATCCTTAAAACAGCACCTGCATATAACAATATTTTCAAAAAAAGCATACTATGTCTACAAGAAAAATTTGAAATTATTACAAATTATTAATTTATTGCCTACATTTAGAAATAAATTATTAATTTATTTCTAAATGTAGGCACGAAAATAAGTTTCTCATAAAAAACTATAAAAACAAGTGAGCTCAAATAATATTTACATTAAATCCCCTCTTTTTAAAAAATATTATTTAAAAAAAAGCAGAAGTAATCAATTCTAAAGAATTCTTTTTGTAATAGTGTCAGCATATTCCACAAATGTGTGAAAATTTACAGTAGTTATGACATAAGCGAGTTCCTGTAATTCAAATTTTTGGTATAAATTGAAGTTTTATTAATTTGACCATCCATTTCTGATGAGTCTTCATTGACGAAACACAGTGTTAAATATAAATTTTTTTTTGCTAAGTGATTTTCTACTACTTTATATATATTTATATATATATATATATATATATAAAGATGAGATTTATATATATATATATATATATATATATATATAGATGAGATAAGGTACCAAGTCTATGAAATGGAGTTATTGATGCAGCTGCATGGAGTTACTACAAAAACTACAAAATAAAACAAAAATCAGCTTGATAGGATCATTATCAACAATTCTACAGAATTTTGAATGGAAGTGCTTTAGAAATAAAATTATTGAGAAAAAACATTTTAAACGAATGACATACTTTAAAATTGTACAACTATTACATGTTAATGAAGTTAGTGTTTATTTTGAATTTTTGCTTATATTAGTATGTTAGAAATAATAACCTTAAACAAATAAAAACCTTTTACAATAAACATTTTTAAAGATTATAAGCAAAAAGTAGAGTTTTACTTCTACATAGTGTCATTTAGTTAATGAATACTTTGAAATGTTCATACATTTTGTATGTTTGTTATCAATTGCAAACCAATTACAATAAACATTTTTTCAAGATTTCTAACAGAAACTCAAAAAAATTTCTAAACAGTGTCAATATGAAAAGGTATGAAGTCTACTGTCTTTAGTTAGTAACATTACTGATATCAACATTATATAAGATAACAAACCCTAATAGAATGAAGAAAAAGCAGCAACATAGGTCAAACAAGTGAAATACGACAATGCACTACATTGTTAATTCAAGTCTGGTATAAAAAAACAACATATTAGATAAAAATTGTCTTCAACAGAAAAATGACCAAGTCTTCAAACACACCATTTTTTACATAATTCTTGCTGTTCTGACCAATAATTACAAGAAAAACTAGATAATAATTGTGATGCAATTCAAAGCTTGCTAACCTGAATGTAACACATCAAAACAAATAAAGTATTGAGAAAAATCTATAAAATAATAAAGATGATGACTAATTTTGATACAAAATTAGGGTTTTAGAGATAGTGACTAATTTTGATACAAAATTAGGGTTTTAGAGAACATAAGATATTTCTTTATGTAAAAAATTTTTTTCTATGTGACTGTAATCGGAAATGACGTTTATTACTATTTATTAAATAAACAGTAATAAACGAAATTTATTTAAAATTTATAAGTAATTGAAATTTCTTTTATGATAAGAAATTTCAATTACTCATAAATTTTATAAGTAAAGATAAACACTTTATGTCAAACAATCAAGGAATTTTTTTAAAGTCTTGGTACCTTTTAATAATTTTTATAAGTCTTTTTTCCCAAACACAACTTGAATTTTTTACTTTTTTTAAACAATAAAAAAAAATAATTTAACTGTTAGAAAAGACAATAAAATCAATTTCAAAATTTTCAACCTCTCTTGTTTAAAATGCTAATACCTCTGAATCTAGAAATATAGACTTGGTACCTTATTTCATCTTGCGCCTTATATTTACATTGTATTATTTTAATATAAGAAACTTTTACCTAAAAAAATTAATTCATTTTTTGAATATATATATATATATATATATATATATATATATATATATATATATATATATATATATATATATATATATATATATATATATATATGTATATATATATATATATATATATATATATATATATATATATATATATATATATATATATATATATATATATATATATAATATATACATTTTTTGAATATTTCATTTCTTAGTTTGAGAAAAACAAAAAGCTGAAAGAATGGCTCCATAGTAATGTAAATTTTATTGCAATCATATACATAATTGTCAAATCTATCTGTTGAATTGCCAGTTTTGCAACTGGAAATATGTCCATTTGTGCGGTTTCTTAAATTGTTTAATTTTCCAGTATAAGTAGATAGACCATTACATGATAAGCATTTTAGATAATAATTGACATTTTTGCTATTCCATGTAATGTGACTTTTACTTTGTATATGAATTTATGTGACAATATAAAATCACATACAAATTAAAAGTCACATAAAAGTTATAGACTCATCAGGAAGCATGCTTCTTGATGAGCCTACTGATAGCGAAACAAATTGTTAAAGAAAATTAAATTTAAATTTATCAATTCAATGACTTTAATACCAAAATGAAATCTTGAAAAACTCAGATTATTAACAAGAACAACAGTTTCTAATGACGATATTTATTCGTATTAAGTTTATAAATTTGACAGCCAAATATTAAAAAAAAAAATCATAAAATAATTAATAAATTAATACAAATTGTAAAGAAACCTTTAGCTTTGAACCACGGAAATAAACTTCACAAAACTTTAAAACTAAAACAAAGTCTCCTTCGTCTTTAATTGGTATGCTATAACCAAAATCTGCAGTATGATACCTCTCAGTCTGGTATAAAATTTGATCAGCTGGAGCTACTCTACCTATTTGTAAGTTTTTGCCATAATCTGATGGCGTTCCAAATGACAGCTTATCTGATTGGTAATGAACCCCATTTAAATCAGTATGTGCCGATCCGCCACAATTAACTGCATATACAACTTCGCCAATACAATTAACATATGAAACACTAAACCAAGTCAGAAAAATATAACAAAAAGCTATTGATAGACGGAAAGAAAAGCGTTGTTGAAAGACTGCCATTATGTGCAGTAGAGACGCCATTTTCAATATCATAATTTTCTAACACTAGCAAAAAATGCAACCGAGCGGTGAAGCGCAGTAAGAAATTTATTTAAATACTTAAAAAGTATTACTTTATCTGTAAATCGTTTTTAAACTTTTTTATTGATAAAAATAAAGAGCTGGTTTATGCCAGAGATAGACGCTGTTTTAAATATATCCAAAACTATCACAAATCAATTAAGTGGCGAAGTGCTCTGAAATATTAATTAGGGGTTGTCAATATATTATATGTATGTGTTGAATATACATTTTTACATTTTTGTGTATTATGAAAATGTTTATAACTATATTAATATAGAGTGTTTAATAAATCATATTTTATGCAAACCATTTATTTGGAAACAGTAACATATACATAAGGGTGGGCTGACAGATAACAAATTTTTAAAATTGCCTTTCAATACATATAAACATATTTTTTTTTTTTTTAATAAACATGTGATTTTTTTATTTATTTTACTTAAAGGTGGTTACAATCATCTCTTAACTCTTTAACACCGAAACATTAACAAAAAAATTAATTGCGCGGAAAAACAAGTTTATCAGTGTAATACCAGTGGCCTGATGGGCAGTAACGGATCCAGGAATTTTTGGTGGGGGGAGGATGTCGAAATATTTTTGTATTTGGTATCATTTTTGCGTCTCCTTAAAAACAAAGGTCATTCATTTCTAGTCCGTCCAGATTCTGGTGGTGGGGGATGCATAACCCATCGCCTCTCCCCCCCTCACCCTGGATCCGTAATTAGTGGTGGGAATCGAATGTTTGTTGACCTACCCTAATGTTATAGAAGCATTTATAAGTAAAGGGATAATGATTCACCTCTTAGAAAATAAATTGCTGTCAAAAAATCACCATGATTTCGTAAAAAATAAATTCTGTATAATAAATTTACCATAAACATTATACATATTAACAGCAAACATAATTAAAGGTTTAGCTGTAGATATGCTATGGATTTTGCCCAAACCCTTTGATAAAGTTTTGCATAAACAACTGTTGAAAAGTGCAACGCTTATGGTATCAAGAACGACTATTTGACAGGATATCATCTTTTTTAAAAGAAAGAAGGCAAATGGTTATGATTGGTGAATAAGCGTCACCATGGGTTGAGTTTTTAGTTGTATGACTTGTTATTCTTGATATTTGTAAACGATCTTCCATCAATTGTTAATTCAAATTGCAAATTATACGCAGATGACAGTATACTAATTAAAATTATGAAAAAATGTTGATCACAAGTCTTTGCAAAAAGACATTAATGAAAAATGTAAAATGGACGGACATCTGGTTGACCAAGTTAGGTTGACCTAAGAACGTTAAAACGTGAATGTGATGCATGTAGGTAAAAAGAATCCAAAAATGAGTTATAGAATAACCCATGACGACAAAGAGAATGAATTAGATACAATAGTTGGTGAAAGAGATTTAGGCGTGATTATTTTATTCGACCTTAAATGGCAGGATCAAGTGACTTCAGCGACAACAAAAGCGCAAAGAACTTTGGGTAAAGTTAAACGTGCATTTACATACTTTGATATGGAAACGGTGAAACTAATATATACGATATTTGTGAGAATGTTTCTTGAGTTCGCATGGAAGCCTTATTTACAACAGGATAATGATGAGTTAGAAATGAAAAGCAAGAAAGTTAGTCGCATAACTTAAAAAGATTACATATGAAAAAAGACTAAGCGCAATGGGTTTAACAACATTGGAGTAAAGAAGAGCAAAAGGAAGATAAGCAAAATACAGGAGATAAGCAAAATATAGACCAAATAAGCTGGTTCAAATCACCACCATTGGCATCATCCTTGACTCGTTCAGACTCGGTTTTATCGGTGCGGGGCATCAAATACAGGTTAAAAAGAGAATACTTATTATCATGTTTACCGAGATAAAATTTCTTCACCAATCGAGTTTGTAATAAACAGATTTTTTACGGAATGAAATCACAAAAACAAGATTGTTGAATGTTTTCAAAGCGCGAATAAATAAATATCTTTGATAAGTTGTGTTTTAAATTTTGTGGGCTGTCTATAATACGATGCTTCGTGTTCCACAATATATTTTATTTTAATATATTTTGTTATATTTAAAAAAAAAAAACTTTAATTGTTGCAGCAATAAATATTATTATTACTATTAAAAATGTTTGAAATTTTTTTTTATTGTATACATATTGCTGCATAATGCACAACAAGTTTGTTTTACAATGGAAACTGTAGTTTCGATTATAACTAAACATTAAACTATAGTTTCAAACAATACGTTGCATAACAAAAACAATAGTGTAAGTTATGCAACGTATAGTTAATTTTATGTCGTAAAACAATTGTTGTTGAAATAGAAACTATTTGGCTCTTTCAAAAGTTGCTGTACAACAAAGTTGTACAACTGTTTTACATTATTTAAACAGTTATTAGAAACCAAGCTTTAGTAATTTTAATTATGGAAAAATAATTTGCCAAAGCAAATAATTCAGCAAACAATGCCTCTGGCTTCAGTATAAGCCTAGGCTTTGGTTAAAATGCCAAAGCTTTGGCGTGCCGAAGCTGAAGCCGAATTTTTGGTACATCTCTAATAATTATCGTATGCTTCTAAGCTGTAGATCGTATGCCGTATGCTTCGAAGCTGTAGATCGTATGCCGTATGCTTCTAAGCTGTAGAATAAAAAGTTAATTTTAATTTTTTTTTAAATTGATAGTATTTTTTGTGTTACTAACCAGCCGGCATTTGGTCCCAAAAAAAACGTCTTCAGAACGTTTAGACGTTCAGAACTTCTTTTCTTTTAAACCTTTTTTATTTGCGCCTTTTCTATTAAATGTCTAAAAAGACCAAATGTCGTCTGTAAAGCCGGCATTTGTTCTTTTTAAGACCACATGCCGGCCGGGTAATAATCATTAAACAGATGTTAGTTTTAAAATTCTCTTTATTGCATAATTAAATAAAATCAAGTATTATCTGTCAGATGAGCTATTACAACACTATTTTGCACATAAATTGTATCAAATAAATTTATTAAACTATATTTTAATTGAAAAAAGTACTTCAAATACGCCACCATTTGAAATCAATTTAAATTGATTTCAAATGGTGGCGTAGAATAAAATACATTAAAATTTGCGTCAACAAACTATTATCATAAAAATATTTTTCAATTTTACTTCGGACTATTCCTTCTAGTATCTTGCACAGAACTGGAGTGAGGGAAACTGGACGATAATTTGTTGCTATTGTTTATCGCCTTTTTATGGAGTTAAGTTTGCATATCTAAATAGAATCTGCAGTTGACTAGTAACTAAAAAATCCCTTAATGTATGTATGTTGTAGAGTAAAAGCGTTTGATGAATTTCGAGCTGTGATGGGTGAAGATTGTCTGGACCACAGGCTTTGTTTTAATCAAGTTTCTGAAGTCGATTTAAAACATTGTTTTATGTTATTTCATTAGGGGAAAGATCAATAAATCTACTAGTGCAATTTTGTACTCTTGATTCAAAGAATGGTTTTTGGGTAATTTTCACTTCTGATTTTTCAAGACGACAAAATTTTTTGTAATTGTTATTCAAATTCACATCTTTCTATTTACCAGGGCAGTTTGTGTAAGGTAGATTCTTTTTTTTTTTGTTGATAAGATCTTTTAATTTTTTATTTATTCACGGAGATGCTTAATTTTTATGAAGTGAAACATCAACAATTGGAATGAAAAAATTACTTGCTACGCTAGTATAATAAATCAACTCATCGTACATCTCCTGGACCTGTTTATTCCTAAATAAATTGACCCAATAAACATTTGAAATAAATTGTGATATTTTTTCAATGTTATTTTTTTTATAAAAGAATTTACATATCTGTCTTTTGGAAGCACTTACTTATTTTTTTAAACAGTAATCAAAAAAGATAATCAAAATGTCCTTTGTCAATATTTCCTAGCACAAACTTTGTTTTTACTACACACAAGTTGCCAGATTCAGTTTTAAAAATTACATCTAACGTATTTGATGCAACTTTATTTGAATTTTGAAATGTAGGGACATTTACATGTTGATATAGAAAGGTTTCGTTTAAAAGATGTACGAATTTTTGCATAATATCATTACCGTTTTTGATTGAAGATGCACTATCATTAGACCAACAGATTGACAGAGAATTTGAATCTCCCATTATCAAAACACCTTTAAACCCTCTCTTATCGACAAATGTCTTGGTTCTTGAAAACCTAAATCAAAATCATCCAGATCAAAAAATCACTCGGCCTATGCAGACAACCAATTAGGTATTTTTCTTTAAAAAAATAGACAACAATCCATACTTATTCAATTTTGCTTGAACCAAAGCAATTTTTACTAATTTCATATGAATCAATCGAATAATCAACATAAAGACATACACCGCCTCCTTTTCTACCATTACATTGGTACTTTCTGTAAAGATTATATCTATTTATGTTAACAACTGAAAAAATTTAAACAAAGTTTTGCCAACACCAATAAGATTTGAACGAGTTGTGTCAATAACTGCAGCAAATTCATCAAATTTATTTTCTAAAGATGTTGCATTAAGCTACATGCATTTCAAAGTTTCTTTAGGAGCCAAAGATTCAAAATGATTCAAAAACTTTGAACTGTTTTGGGATTGTGCTTGATTAGAAAGACTATTTAGAATTTTGTACTTGATTCCCACGGATGCTATATCGAAAGGACGAACAAATGCCAATTCAGAATTTAATTTTTCCTCTCCCTCCTTAATATAAAGTCCACTTGTCTCTCAGCTCCTGTTAAATCAGGGCTAATTTATACAGAATTATAAGTGTAGCTATTTCTTAATTTCTTCACTAAACTAACAGAACTGGATTTCTGATACTTAAAATTAGAAAGTTCAACAAGAATAGGGCCAGGCTTACTCACAACTTTTAATTTTAATTTTTTCATATAAACAGGTTTAACATCATCTTTTTCTATTATTGCAAAATATCGTTTATTTTCTGCTGATCTTCAAATTTCTGTTCTGTTATTTGCTGATTTTGGAACACCGTAAACG